ACAAGATCCGAGAGTGGTTAACAACAAGAGCTTCGACTGGTGAAGAAGAGCTTAAGGTGGTTAACAAAAGTTGAGGTTGGCAAACAAGAATTGTGAGTGGTAAACAAGTATTGGGGCTGGTAAACAAGAGCTGAGGGCGGTCAACAAGAGCTGGAAGTGGTAAACAAGATCTGCGGGTGGTAAACCGGAACAGAGGGTGGCAAACTAGACCTGCTGGTGGTAAACAAAAAGCGAGGGTGGCGAACAAGAGCTGAGGGTGGTAAACCAGAATTGTGGCTGTTAAACTAGAACTACGGGTGGTAAACAACAGCTACGGTGGTAAAAATAACCCAGGGTGGTGAACAAGAGCTGGGGATGGTGAACAACAACTAAGTAGGTGAACGAGAGCTTAGGGTGGCAAACAAGAATTGTGGGTGTTACACAAGTATTGTGGGTGGCAAACAAGAGCTGAGTGTGGTAAACAAGAATTATGAGTGGTAAACAAGTATTGAGGGTGGTAAACAAGTATCGAGGTGGTAAATAACAGCTAGGTTAATGAAACAAGAGCTGAGAGTGGTAAACAAGTATTGAGGGTGGTAAACAACAGCCAAAGTTAATGAAAAACAACTAGGGTGGTAACAACGAGTTGGGGTGGTAAACACGAACTAAAGGTGGTATACCATAAATGATGGCAGTGAACAACAGGTAGGGTGGTGAACAAGAGCTGAGGGTGGTAACCAAGAACCCAGGGTGGTGAACAGGAGCTGGGTATGTTAAACAAGAACCGAGGGTAGTGAACAACAACTAGGACCGTGAACAAGAGCATATGGTGGACAAGAGTTCAGGGTTGTAAATAAGAATTGTGGGTGGTTAACATGAACAAGAACTGTGAGTGGTTAACAAGAACTGTGGGTGGTTAACACGTATTGTGGGTGGTAAACAAGTATTTTTGATGGTAAACAAGAGCTGGGGGTGGTAAATAGGAATTGTTGGTATGGTTTATTATCGTACGCCTTATTACCACCCTTACACATTACTTACCACCCGTCAGTATTGTGTATTACTGTACGCCTTATTACCACCTTTACAAATTACTTACCACCCGTCAGTATTGTGTATTACCGTACGCCTTATTACCACCCGTACACATTACTTACCACCCGTCAGTATTGTGTATTATCGTACGCCTTATTACCACCCTTACACATTACTTACCACCCGTCAGTATGGTATCGAAAGCGCATTTCCCAAAGACCACTAACGGT